AAAGGAACTCCCCTGTGTAACTTAGATTCAGCCATTGGCAGCTCATGCGTGACACCTGCCGCTTGCTCAGGCCCTTTGAGGAGGCCACGCTATTCGTGAGTCGGCAGGACTATGGGATGAAACGACGTCATTCCTCTGTTGCACGTCCTGGAACAAATGCTGTTAACAATGGCTGGTCAGGGTGCGGTAGACGTGGCGCACAGATCTCAACGCCACATGACCCCTGTGGGGGCAGGACAGGAAGAAGAGGAGGAGGTAGAGGAGGACATTTGTGCTCAGAATTATTGAGTGAAATGGGTGGTTTTTCCACTCAGCGGACAGGAGTGGAGGAGCAGGAGCATCTGGTAGAGGAGGAGGAGGAGGTCCAAAATGGTGGCCTTTTTTCACACCTGCTGAGAGGGAGGCCAAAATTACGTACTATAAAAACCACCTATGTAGTCAGTTGGTCTCTGCCTTTGTGCGCCAACGTCCATCCTCAGACACTGTGGGCCCTGTGCGCTCGCGTTCCGCTGGCATGGCAGCAGGGGAGGGGTGGGGTGGTAGGAGCAGTGGCAGCTCCACCAGCAGTGGCTGCCTCAGTCTGCAGTCGATGATGAGTAGCTTTCTTCACCAGCGCAGTGAGGAAACTACTAACCAGCCCGCAGCAGCAGCAGCAGCATCAGGTGGACCTGAGCAGGAGCTCAAACAACAGGCTTGGGCCTACTTGGACAGCACCCTGCCAACCGAGGTAGACAATCCCCTTGACTACTGGGCAACGAAACTTGACCTTTGGCCCCAACTAGCTGAATTTGCCCTTGAAAGGCTGTCATGCCCGCCAGTAGCGTGGCATCGGAGCGCGTGTTTAGTGCGGCAGGAGGTATTGTAACTCCGCGGAGGACACGACTGTCCACCCAAAGTGTGGAGAGACTCACGTTTGTGAAAATGAATCAGGCGTGGATTAGTCTGGATTTCAAACCACCAGTTCCTGACACAACTGACTAAATCCGCCATGAATCATGCCTCAAACATGTGCCACTTTCAGGTCTCCTCACACTGCTGGTGTGTTTAAATTTTTTGACATAGGGTGCTGGCAGATTACGGGCCTCCTATAGCTGCTGCCAGGCCCCTAATCTGCCATAGGCCCCTATATACCGCCTCCTCATGCTGCTGCCAAGTCCAGAGTCTCTCATGGGTCCCTGTACCTATATACCGCCTCCTCATGCTGCTGCCAAGTCCAGAGTCTCTCATGGGTCCCTGTACGGCCTCCCATTGCTGCTGTCTCCATCGCCACACTCTGCTGCCATGTGCCACTTTCAGGTCTCTTCACACTGCTGGTGTGTTAAATTTTTTGACATAGGGTGCAGGCAGATTACGGGCCTCACATAGCTGCTGCCAGGCCCCTAATCTGCCATGGGCCCCTATATACCGCCTCCTCATGCTGCTGCCAAGTCCAGAGTCTCTCATGGGTCCCTGTACGGCCTCCCATTGCTGCTGTCTCCATCGCCACACTCTGCTGCCATGTGCCACTTTCAGGTCTTTCACACACTGCTGGTGTGTTAAATTTTTTGACATAGGGTGCAGGCAGATTACGGGCCTCACATAGCTGCTGCCAGGCCCCTAATCTGCCATGGGCCCCTATATATACCGCCTCCTCATGCTGCTGCCAAGTCCAGAGTCTCTCTCATGGGTCCCTGTACGGCCTCCCATTGCTGCTGTCTCCATCGCCACACTCTGCTGCCATGTGCCACTTTCAGGTCTCTTCACACTGCTGGTGTGTTAAATTTTTTGACATAGGGTGCAGGCAGATTACGGGCCTCACATAGCTGCTGCCAGGCCCCTAATCTGCCATGGGCCCCTATATACCGCCTCCTCATGCTGCTGCCAAGTCCAGAGTCTCTCATGGGTCCCTGTACGGCCTCCCATTGCTGCTGTCTCCATCGCCACACTCTGCTGCCATGTGCCACTTTCAGGTCTCTTCACACGCTGGTGTGTTAAATTTTTTGACATAGGGTGCAGGCAGATTACGGGCCTCACATAGCTGCTGCCAGGCCCCTAATCTGCCATGGGCCCCTATATACCGCCGCCTCCTCATGCTGCTGCCAAGTCAGAGTCTCTCATGGGTCCCTGTACGGCCTCCCATTGCTGCTGTCTCCATCGCCACACTCTGCTGCCATGTGCCACTTTCAGGTCTCTTCACACTGCTGGTGTGTTAAATTTTTTGACATAGGGTGCAGGCAGATTAACGGGCCCTCACACATAGCTGCTGCCAGGCCCCTAATCTGCCATGGGCCCCTATATACCGCCTCCTCATGCTGCTGCCAAGTCCAGAGTCTCTCATGGGTCCCTGTACGGCCTCCCATTGCTGCTGCTGTCTCCATCGCCACACTCTGCTGCCATGTGCCACTTTCAGGTCTCTTCACACTGCTGGTGTGTTAATTTTTTTTTGACATAGGGTGCAGGCAGATTACGGGCCTCACATAGCTGCTGCCAGGCCCTAATCTGCCATGGGCCCCCTATATACCGCCTCCTCATGCTGCTGCCAAGTCTAGAGTCTCTCATGGGTCCCTGTACGGCCTCCCATTGCTGCTGTCTCCATCGCCACACTCTGCTGCCATGTGCCACTTTCAGGTCTCTTCACACTGCTGGTGTGTTAAATTTTTTGACATAGGGTGCAGGCAGATTACGGGCCTCACATAGCTGCTGCCAGGCCCCTAATCTGCCATGGCCCCCCTATATACCGCCTCCTCATGCTGCTGCTGCCAAGTCCAGAGTCTCTCATGGGTCCCTGTACGGCCTCCCATTGCTGCTGTCTCCATCGCCACACTCTGCTGCCATGTGCCACTTTCAGGTCTCTTCACACTGCTGGTGTGTTAAATTTTTTTTGACATAGGGTGCAGGCAGATTACGGGCCTCACATAGCTGCTGCCAGGCCCCTAATCTGCCATGGGCCCCTATATACCGCCTCCTCATGCTGCTGCCAAGTCTAGAGTCTCTCATGGGTCCCTGTACGGCCTCCCATTGCTGCTGTCTCCATCGCCACACTCTGCTGCCATGTGCCACTTTCAGGTCTCTTCACACTGCTGGTGTGTTAAATTTTTTGACATAGGGTGCAGGCAGATTACGGGCCTCACATAGCTGCTGCCAGGCCCCTAATCTGCCATGGGCCCCTATATACCGCCTCCTCATGCTGCTGCCAAGTCCAGAGTCTCTCATGGGTCCCTGTACGGCCTCCCATTGCTGCTGTCTCCATCGCCACACTCTGCTGCCATGTGCCACTTTCAGGTCTCTTCACACTGCTGGTGTGTTAAATTTTTTGACATAGGGTGCAGGCAGATTACGGGCCTCACATAGCTGCTGCCAGGCCCCTAATCTGCCATGGGCCCCTATATACCGCCTCCTCATGCTGCTGCCAAGTCAGAGTCTCTCTCATGGGTCCCTGTACGGCCTCCCATTGCTGCTGTCTCCATCGCCACACCTGCTGCCATGTGCCACTTTCAGGTCTCTTCACACTGCTGTGTGTGTTAAATTTTTTGACATAGGGTGCAGGCAGATTACGGGCCTCACATAGCTGCTGCCAGGCCCCTAATCTGCCATGGCCCCTATATACCGCCTCCTCATGCTGCTGCCAAGTCCAGAGTCTCTCATGGGTCCCTGTACGGCCTCCCATTGCTGCTGTCTCCATCGCCACACTCTGCTGCCATGTGCCACTTTCAGGTCTCTTCACACACTGCTGGTGTGTTAAATTTTTTGACATAGGGTGCAGGCAGATTACGGGCCTCACATAGCTGCTGCCAGGCCCCTAATCTGCCATGGGCCCCTATATACCGCCTCCTCATGCTGCTGCCAAGTCCAGAGTCTCTCATGGGTCCCTGTACGGCCTCCCATTGCTGCTGTCTCCATCGCCACACTCTGCTGCCATGTGCCACTTTCAGGTCTCTTCACACTGCTGGTGTGTTAAATTTTTTGACATAGGGTGTGCAGGCAGATTACGGGCCTCACATAGCTGCTGCCAGGCCCCTAATCTGCCATGGGCCCCTATATACCGCCTCCTCCTCATGCTGCTGCCAAGTCCAGAGTCTCTCATGGGTCCCTGTACGGCCTCCCATTGCTGCTGCTGTCTCCATCGCCACACTCTGCTGCCATGTGCCACTTTCAGGTCTCTTTCACACTGCTGGTGTGTTTAAATTTTTTGACATAGGGTGCAGGCAGATTACGGGCCTCACATAGCTGCTGCCCAGGCCCCTAATCTGCCATGGGCCCCTATATATACCGCCTCCTCATGCTGCTGCCAAGTCCAGAGTCTCTCATGGGTCCCTGTACGGCCTCCCATTGCTGCTGTCTCCATCGCCACACTCTGCTGCCATGTGCCACTTTCAGGTCTCTTCACACTGCTGGTGTGTTTAAATTTTTTGACATAGGGTGCTGGCAGATTACGGGCCTCACATAGCTGCTGCCAGGCCCCTATCTGCCATGGGGCCCCCCCCCTATATACCGCCTCCTCATGCTGCTGCCAAGTCCAGAGTCTCTCATGGGTCCCTGTACGGCCTCCCATTGCTGCTGTCTCCATCGCCACACTCTGCTGCCATGTGCCACTTTCAGGTCTCTTCACACTGCTGGTGTGTTAAATTTTTTGACATAGGGTGCAGGCAGATTACGGGCCTCACATAGCTGCTGCCAGGCCCCTAATCTGCCATGGGCCCCTATATACCGCCCCTCCTCATGCTGCTGCCAAGTCCAGAGTCTCTCATGGGTCCCTGTACGGCCTCCCATTGCTGCTGTCTCCATCGCCACACTCTGCTGCCATGTGCCACTTTCAGGTCTCTTCACACTGCTGGTGTGTTAAATTTTTTGACATAGGGTGCAGGCAGATTACGGGCCTCACATAGCTGCTGCCAGGCCCCTAATCTGCCATGGGCCCCTATATACCGCCTCCTCATGCTGCTGCCAAGTCAGAGTCTCTCTCATGGGTCCCTGTACGGCCTCCCATTGCTGCTGTCTCCATCGCCACACTCTGCTGCCATGTGCCACTTTCAGGTCTCTTCACACTGCTGGTGTGTTAAATTTTTTGACATAGGGTGCAGGCAGATTACGGGCCTCACATAGCTGCTGCCAGGCCCCTAATCTGCCATGGGCCCCCTATATACCCGCCTCCTCATGCTGCTGCCAAGTCCAGAGTCTCTCATGGGTCCCTGTACGGCCTCCCATTGCTGCTGTCTCCATCGCCACACTCTGCTGCCATGTGCCACTTTCAGGTCTCTTCACACTGCTGGTGTGTTTAAATTTTTTGACATAGGGTGCAGGCAGATTACGGGCCTCACATAGCTGCTGCCAGGCCCCTAATCTGCCATGGGCCCCTATATACCTATATACCGCCTCCTCATGCTGCTGCCAAGTCCAGAGTCTCTGGGTCCCTGTGTACGGCCTCCCATTTGCTGCTGTCTCCATCGCCACACTCTGCTGCCATGTGCCACTTTCAGGTCTCTTCACACTGCTGTGTGTTAAATTTTTTGACATAGGGTGCAGGCAGATTACGGGCCTCACATAGCTGCTGCCAGGCCCCTAATCTGCCATGGGCCCCTATATACCGCCTCCTCATGCTGCTGCCCAGTCCAGAGTCTCTCATGGGTCCCTGTACGGCCTCCCATTGCTGCTGTCTCCATCGCCACACTCTGCTGCCATGTGCCACTTTCAGGTCTCTTCACACTGCTGGTGTGTTAAATTTTTTGACATAGGGTGCAGGCAGATTACGGGCCTCACATAGCTGCTGCCAGGCCCCTAATCTGCCATGGGCCCCTATATACCGCCCGCCTCCTCATGCTGCTGCCAAGTCCAGAGTCTCTCATGGGTCCCTGTACGGCCTCCCATTGCTGCTGTCTCCATCGCCACACTCTGCTGCCATGTGCCACTTTCAGGTCTCTCTCACACTGCTGGTGTGTTAAATTTTTTGACATAGGGTGCAGGCAGATTACGGGCCTCACATAGCTGCTGCTGCCAGGCCCCTAATCTGCCATGGGCCCCTATATATACCGCCTCCTCATGCTGCTGCCAAGTCAGAGTCTCTCATGGGTCCCTGTACGGCCTCCCATTGCTGCTGTCTCCATCGCCACACTCTGCTGCCATGTGCCACTTTCAGGTCTCTTCACACTGCTGGTGTGTTAAATTTTTTGACATAGGGTGCAGGCAGATTACGGGCCTCACATAGCTGCTGCCAGGCCCCTAATCTGCCATGGGCCCCTATATACCCCGCCTCCTCATGCTGCTGCCAAGTCCAGAGTCTCTCATGGGTCCCTGTACGGCCTCCCATTGCTGCTGTCTCCATCGCCACACTCTGCTGCCATGTGCCACTTTTTCAGGTCTCTTCACACTGCTGGTGTGTTAAATTTTTTGACATAGGGTGCAGGCAGATTACGGGCCTCACATAGCTGCTGCCAGGCCCCTAATCTGCCATGGGCCCCTATATACCGCCTCCTCATGCTGCTGCCAAGTCCAGAGTCTCTCATGGGTCCCTGTACGGCCTCCCATTGCTGCTGTCTCCATCGCCACACTCTGCTGCCATGTGCCACTTTCAGGTCTCTTCACACTGCTGGTGTGTTAAATTTTTTGACATAGGGTGCAGGCAGATTACGGGCCTCACATAGCTGCTGCCAGGCCCCTAATCTGCCATGGGCCCCTATAAACCGCCTCCTCATGCTGCTGCCAAGTCTAGAGTCTCTCATGGGTCCCTGTACGGCCTCCCATTGCTGCTGTCTCCATCGCCACACTCTGCTGCCATGTGCCACTTTCAGGTCTCTTCACACTGCTGTGTGTGTTAAATTTTTTGACATAGGGTGCAGGCAGATTACGGGCCTCACATAGCTGCTGCCAGGCCCCTAATCTGCCATGGGCCCCCTATATACCGCCTCCTCATGCTGCATGCTGCTGCCAAGTCCAGAGTCTCTCATGGGTCCCTGTACGGCCTCCCATTGCTGCTGTCTCCATCGCCACACTCTGCTGCCATGTGCCACTTTCAGGTCTCTTCACACTGCTGGTGTGTTAAATTTTTTGACATAGGGTGCTGGCAGATTACGGGCCTCCCATTGCTGCTGCCAGACATGTAATCTGCCATGGGCCCCCGTACCGACTCCTCATGCTGTGACGTTGCAACAAGGTGTGTAATTCAACCCTACATATGTTAGACCCGCCTTTACGAACAGCTAAAGGCCATCACAGATTTCCTGATGTTAAAAGCGGATAAAGGTACTCCCTGTGTAACTTAGATGTCAGCCATTGTCAGCTCATGTGTGACACCTGCGCTTGCTCAGGCCCTTTGAGGAGGCCACGCTATTCGTGAGTCGGCAGGACTATGGGATGAATGAGGTCAAATCGGCCATGGGCCCCCCCGTACCGCCTGTTCGCTGATGCTGGTCCCACAGTGTGACCTGGGTCCCTGTACGGCCTCCCATTGCTTCCACTCTGCCATGTACCTCTTTGAAATCTCCTCACACTCCTGCGGTTGTCCATTTTGTCATAGGTTGCTGGCAGATTAGCGGCCTTCCATAGGTGCCGCCAGGCCCCATATCGACCATGGGCCCCCGTACCTCCTGGTCACGCTGCTGCTGAGCCCACAGTGTGACCTGGGTCCCTGTACGGCCTCCCATTGCTTCCACTCTGCCATGTGCCACTTTGAAATCTCCTCACACTCCTGCGGTTGTCCATTTTGTCATAGGTTGCTGGCAGATTACAGGCCTTCCATAGGTGCCACCAAGCCCCATATCGGCCATGGGCCCCCGTACCGCCTGGTCACGCTGCTGCTGGGCCCACAGTGTGACCTGGGTCCCTGTACCGCCTCCCATTGCTCCCACTCTGCCATGTGCCACTTTCAGGTCTCCTCACGCTCCTGCTGGTTTCCATTTTGTCATAGGTTGCTGTATGGCCTCCCATTGCTGCTGCCTCCACCGCCACACTGTGGCTCCAAACACTGGTTTTGGCCCCGTGACTGGCCAAAGGAGTGAAGTGTGCAGTGATTCTAAGATCGACGGCACTCATCTGCATGTCATACTGACAGACAGTATTATTTGGAGGTTGTCTATCCCAGTAGGCAATAACAAATCTTACAGAGGCTTCAATCTTTCTCCACTGTAAAAGAAATTATGTTTGCTTTGCACCATTCAGAGAACACTTTGCATCTTTTCAATGAATGCAAAGCATTCTCCAATTGGATGAGGTGATGTTTGCTTTGCTGTCAATGGTCCTAATGGAGAGATTTCCCTTTGCTTCCTGTTCAATTGATCCCCTATCATTAGGACAGGAAGTCAGTGTAATCTGCCTATTGAGGACTCGAGCAGCAAACCAAACCTAACCAAAATGAGTTTCTAACCCCTCCACGAGCTAAATTCTTAACAAGCAACAAAGTAACAAAGATAAAATAGAAGAGCCCACTAAAAGATGAAGTAACAGAATTGGCTTTGCTTCAGTTTCAATTCAGAGATTTCCCTGTAACACGTTTTTTCTCCTGTGAGATGTCTGCAGTCTGTTGGCCAGCATCAATTTACCCACTTCTTCTGAGCCCAGGTCATACTGATCCTTCCCCAGGCTGTGACTGAACAATGAGAGCAAAGCTCTCTCATTTCTCAGTCACTCTGCTCTCCCCTGTTATCAGCATGCTTCTTGTCAGTGCATGAAATGATTGGCTCCTTGTGCTAATGTTGCCTCTCCCAGCCTGAGCTCTGCTGTAGAGGAACTGCTAGAAGCTGATACCAAGTAACATTTGTCTACAGTACTTGCATTTACTGTATAAATTACACTAAATTACCTAAAGTATTGGGACACCCCTCTAAATCATTGTATTCAGGTGTTCCAATCACCTCCATGGCCACAGGTGTATAAAATCAAATACACCTAGACATGCAGACTGCTTTTGCAAGCATTTGTGAAAGAATGGGCCACTCTCAGGAGCTCAGTGGATTCAAGCGTGGTACTGTGATAGGTTGCCTCCTGTGCAATAAGTCCATCTGTGACATTTCCTGGCTACTAAATATTCCACGGTCAACTGTTAGTGGTATTATAACAAAGTGGAAGCAACAGGCCATATAAAATGACAGAGCGGAGTCAGCGCATGCTGAAGCGCACAGTGCGCAGAAGTTGGCAACTGTCTGCAGAGTCAATAGCTAAAGACCTCCAAACATGGTGTGGCCTTCAGATTAGCACAACAACAGTGTGTAGAGAGCTTCATGGAATGGGTTTCCATGGCCGAGCAGTTGCATCCAAACCTTCCATCACCAAGTGCAATGCAAAGAGTTGGATACAGTGGTGTAAAAAAAAGCCACCACTGGACTCTAGAGCAGCGGAGACGTGTTCTCTGTAGGGACAAATCACTCTTCTCTGTCTGGCAATACGATGGACGTGTCTGGATTTGGCGGTTGCCAGGAGAATGGTACTTGCCTGACTGCATTGTGCCAAGTGTAAAGTTTGGTGGAGGAGGGATTATGGTGTGGGGTTGTTTTTCAGGGGTTGGGCTTGGCCCCTTAGTTCCAGTGAAGGGAACTCCTAAGGCGTCAGCATACCAAGACATTTCGGGACAATTTCATGCTCCCAACTTTGTGGGAATAGTTTGGGGATGGCCCCTTCCTGTTCCAACATGACTGCTCATGAGTGCACAAAGCAAGGTCCATAAAGACATGGATGAGCAAGTTTGGGGTGGAGGAACCTGGCTGGCCTGCACAGAGTCCTGACCTCAACCCAATAGAACACCTTTGGGATGAATTAGAGTGGAGACTGTGAGCCAGGCCTTCTCGTCTGACATCAGTGCCTGAATCTGAATGGTCAAACACTCCCATAGACACACTACTAAACCTTGAGGACGGCCTTCCCAGAAGAGTTGAAGCTGTTATAGCTGCAAAGGGTGGACCAACTCAATATTGAACCCTACGCACTAAGATTGAGATGCCAGTAAAGTTCATGTGCGTGTAAAGGCAGGCATCCCAATATTTTTGGCAATATAGTGTATATTTAATTATATATTGACTAACACGGAGCTGCATGAATTTCTGTCTAGAGTTCAGCTTGGAAGGGAAAAAAAAAAACTGTAAAAATCTTAAAAAAAAGGTTGCATAGTTAAACTTACACATGTGTAGCTTCCTCCCAACTCTGTCACACTGCCAAAACAGCAGAGCTTTTATTAAAAAAAAATGATATAACACTCCAGTTCTTCCTTTTACAGTTCAGCTTACCTATAAATAGCAATCCTGTTCTTAGCGGGCTCTTAATTAGCTGGGATTCTTGAAAGCTGGAAGTTTTTATCTCAGTGTAACAATGATGTTCTGTGACTTGCATGTTCTAGGCATGATCAGTGCCAGAAACAATAAAGGTAACCTAAGAATATAAATTAATAAATGAATGCATAATCGTGAGATAATGCAACTTTTTTTTAGAAAATTGATATTTCTGTTTTGATAGATGATAGTTACAGTTGAGTCCTGGGTACATATGTAGACTTCACCTCCACAACATCTCCAAAATACGTCCATTCCTAACCCCAGAAACTACTAAGCAACTCATTCACTCCCTCATTATATCATGACTTGACTACTGTAACTCCCTCCTCACCGGCTTACCTCACCGCAGGCTATCCCCTCTTCAGTCTATCTTGAATGCTGCGGCCAGACTCATCCACCTTACTAACCGCTCCTTATCCGCCACCCCTCTCTGCCAATCCCTCCAGTGGCTTCCGATTGCCCAACGGATAAAATTCAAAATACTAACATTGACATATAAAGCTGTTCATAATACTGCCCCAAACTACATCACCGATCTGGTATCCAAATACCACCCAAAACGTACTTTCCGCTCCTCACAAGACCTCCTACTCTCTAGTTCCCTGGTCTCCTCCTCCCATGCCCATCTCCAGGGCTTTCCCCATCCTCTGGAACTCCCTACCCCAATCCATCAGACTATCACCTACTCTCCTCACCTTTAGGCGCACTCTGAACACCCATCTCTTCAGGGAAGCCGACCCCGCCCTCAGCTAATTACTGAACTCCTCCACTCTTCCTACCACTCCATCCCCCACAGCTATTTCCTCCTGTACCACTATCCCCTCCCTCCTTGATTGTAAGCGTCAAGGAGCAGGGCCCTCGAACCCCTCGTGTATTGAATCATATTGTTACTGTACTGTCTCCCATTATAATGTTATAATGTACAGCACTGAGCAAACTGTTGGCGCTATATAAATCCTGTATAATAATAATGATAAAATGGATATATTTCAATAGTTACATTGATTCAGCTTGGTCCAATGGAAGTAAATACAGTATGTGTCATACCTGTGTGGTCTCATTTTAGCAAGGTTTCTTAACCAGGGTTCCTCAAGAGGTTGTTTGGGGTTCCTTGAGTAACCAGCAATTTCTGCCTCTCAGTTAAGTTTCCATTGAGACCAATGATCTTTTTATCTATTTGTAAGGGGGTAATTCTTCCCAATGACCACAAGTGTAAGGAGCATTACACTGATGTGTCATGAGTTGTAGATATGGTCATTTTTACCAGGGTTCCCTGAGACGGGGAAGTTTCAAGGGTTCCTCTGTGTTGAGAAAGACTGTTCTAGAAGTTGTATTAGACACTACTACTCCAGTAATCTACACTAGCCTCCAGGTCTGTGCTGAGCAGCTGCCCTGCTGCTGCTAATTCGGCAGGGGAACCATTCAGAGAACACTTTGCATCTTTTCAATGAATGCAAAGCATTCTCCAATTGGATGAGGTGATGTTTGCTTTGCTGTCAATGTTCCTATTGGAGAGATTTCCCTTTGCTTCCTGTTCAACTGATCCCCTATCATCAGGACAGGAAGTCAGTATAATCTGCCTATTGAGGACACGAGCAGCAAACCTAACCAAAATGAGTTTCTAACCCCTCCACGAGCTACATTCTTAACAAGCTAACTCCAACCAAGCTAACTCCAACCAAAAGTAACAAAGATAAAACAGAAGAGCCCACTAAAAGATAAAGTAACAGAATTGGCTTTGCTTCAGTTTCAGTTCAGAGTTTTCCCTGCAGCACTTTTTTTCTCCACTTCTTCACATAATAATGCTTGGGTCTACCTGCAGCAATTGCCCTCAGGCATTGGAGACTATAGCTAGCTAGTTAATGAGGCCAGGTTGATAATTGTTTTTATCCATAGTGGCATGGAAAATCAAAGAAAAACATTTTTTTTTTTCAAATGAACAAAATTCTAACTGTAAATGTAATTTTCCTTTAGGAATCAAACTTATTGTACTGCGCATGGGCATCCCAAAATTGAATGTAGAATTTGAAACATTGGCATGGAAAAGAAATACTTTTTTTCAATGTGTGCATTTGAAATTTGTCAAGTTCATAAAATGTTCAAACAAATTCCTATTGGTCTATTGGAAGCTTATGTTGTGGAAGCCTGCAGGGATTATATAAGCACAGTGGATAAAACTTAATTTTGAGTAATTATGCCATTATGACATGTGGATGTGGCTCTGGTAGGTCAAAAACTCTTTATATTCTCCAGCACTACCACATCATCAGTGGTAGGTGCAGTAGAAATCCCATGCAACTAAGCCCAAACCGGGTTAAACGAGAGGGTCATTTGCTAAAGTAGGGACTGTGTTTTGGAAACCAACTACATTTGAATAAAGTACTATGTGGTGCTGCTTTGCTTTTTTTACATGCTGGTAGATGCAAGTTTTTTTTTTTTTGTGGAATCAAAGATTTCATGACAATATTTCCAAAGCTGGACATTCATATAACAATACAATCTTTCAGTATAGCAGTTGTGATCTGCCGCCTGTATTTGACATTATTATTATTATATTATTATACAGTATTTATAAAGCGCCAATAGCTCGCTCAGCGCTGTACATTACAAAGAGGGACAGAACATGTGACAGAACAATACCAATACAATGCAAAACATGAGGGGATCGAGGGCCCTGCTCTTTCGAGCTTACAATCTAGGAGGGAGGGGATGGTGGCACAGGAGGAGATAGCTGTGGGGGATGGAGTGGTAGGAAGAGTGGAGGAGGTCGGCAAGTTAGCAGGGGGTGGGGTAGGCTTCCCTGAAGAGGTGGGTTTTCAGGGTGCGCCTAAAGGAGAGGCGAGTAGGTGATAATCTGATGGGTTGGGGCAGGGAGTTCCAGAGGATGGGTGACACCCTGGAGAAGTCATGGAGGCGGGCATGGGAGGAGGAGACCAGGGAACTAGAGAGAAGGAGGTCTTGTGAGGAGCAGAGTGTGCATGCTGGGCGGTACTTGGATATTAGGTCGGTGATGTAGTTCGGGGCAGTATGGTGGACAGCTTTGTACGTCAGTGTTAGGATTTTGAATTTGATCCGTTGCGCAATCGGAAGCCAGTGGAGGGATTGGCAGAGGGGGGTGGCGGAGATGGAGCGGTTGGAAAGGTGAATGAGTCTGGCAGCCGTATTCAGGATGGACTGAAGCGGGGATAGCCAGTGGCGAGGCAGGCCAGTGAGGAGGGAGTTGCAGTAGTCGAGTTGTGACATGAATTAAAACTAAACTCCATGCAAGTATGAAAGACTCAAAACAATGCAGCTCTACATTTGTCAATAAGTGTATTTTTTGTTATGCAAGCAATGTAAATAACTGAATTTGATATCAACATATTGCAATGCTTTACAAGCAGCACAAGGAGAGAATAGAGTGAAAGAGAGATTTATTTATTTATTTCAGGTACTTATAAAGTGCAGTCAATTTACTCAGCGCTTTTCATACATATATTGTACATCCATATCAGTCCCTAATCCTCAAGGGGCGTACAATCTAAAGTCCCTACCAGGGGCGGACTGATAACTCATGGGGCCCCTGGGCAATAGGGGACCATGGGGCCCCTGTGTCCTTGCCCAAACTCAAAAAAGCCTATGAAAAAGGTACCAGGGGCATCTTCTGGGGCCCCCTACTGACCCCTGGCCCTCGGGCAGTGCCCGAGTTTCCAAATGGTCCCTACCTCACATTCATACATACACATACTAGGGCCAATTTAGACAGGAGCCAATTAACCTACCAGCATGTCTTTGGAGTGTGGGAGGAAACCGGAGTACCTGGAGGAAACCCACGCAGTCACAGGGAGAACATGCAAACTCCAGACAGGTGGTGCCGGGGTTGGGATTCAAACCAGCGGCCCTAGTACTGCCAGGCAGAAGTGCTAACTATTTGGCCACTGTGCTGCCCAACTTTCACTGTTGATCCACAGACTGGGGGGGGACAAGTTTTGTAGGTATTACTGCCTGCCACAGGGAAAAGTCAACTCTTCTGCTTTGCTATAAAGTGCCTTGCTGTGTAGCAGGGTTGTGTATATCTCAGGACTGGATCAACACACATACAAAACCTTTGGTAGGTAAAATAGCTCCATTCATAGAGTGCTTTTCATTAATGGAAGATAGTACGGCTTCTATGAATGGAGGAGGGGGCGGGAAGGGCCAGAATAGTCAGCA